CTCTGTAAAAGTAGAAAAGCACCTGCACTTCATGGACATCTAATCCTTTCAAGATAGAAAGCCTGGGATTCACCAGCCAGTCTAAAATCACTTCAAAAAAATAAACAAATATTAAAGTGAAATTAAACCATGATGTATCCTCTGATGCAAGAGTACATAACAGTTCTTCAGCTTAGAGACAAGTGTTTAGGAAAAAAAAGAAAATGGGACTTAAAAATATATCCTCCTAAGTTAAATCCAATAGGTTCTCTCTCCATTTCACCCAGCTAAAAAACTGTCAGGATGCTGTCAGAACACACTAACAACTGGCCTAGTACATCCAAAAAAAATTTTTTTTTGTTTGTTGCAAAGAAAGTGCCCTTGAAATCTCAGTATGTGGCAAACTACACACACATTGAAAACTACAGTTCACTGAAAAGATGACCACATTAGAGAAACACATAATGGAGACCAGTGCATACATTCTTATTAGGTTCTGATTAAGTCTAGACACAATGCATGTATCAACCAAAAATTCTTTATAGTGGGTTTAAGTATGAATGACATGGAGGGATATCATATCAACAAAAGATGCCATGGTTTTTGGTCTAAACATCTGAATTTTGCTAAGATTTTTTTTTAATTTATGCAGTATAGGATTCATTCATAAATCAGGAAAAATTTATCAGCCTGGTTCATAAACGTATCATGCCATTTGTCACCAGTGCAACAGCAATAATACTCTTATAAGACACTAGGAACGTACAATTTCTTTTTCTTGCCGATCAAGGAACTCCTTCCCTGATTCCCTGAGTGTGGGAATCATCATAAGGTTTAAATTCCAGCTGACGTATATCACAGTAACTTTATACTTAAAGTTGGTACATACAAGCCAACTGAAATATGATGATTTCCACAACATTACGGTACAACTCTACAGAGAGGCAGATTTGAACAGCCAATAATCTTTTTATGAAAAGGAGAACTATCAGTTAATTGGTAGTAAATTTTCAATTTCCATTGTGGCAATTTTCACACCAAAGGAAGATTTATGAAATGTCCTTTTCATAACAGGACTGAAAAAAATCTTACTAGTTTGATAGTTGCACAGTATCTTCCAAAAGCTACAGAAATATGAAAGTGATGCACTCGGGGGGGGGGGGGGGGGGTTGAGGAATAATTTCACAGTGTAACTTTGTAACGAGTCCCTGGAGGAAATATCTGTTCCTTTCTTCCCCTCTGCAAAGCTATGTAATTAATTCCTAACTGCTGTGTTAATGCTCCCTATTCCTGTCAGAGTCCCTTTGGAAACATGTTGAAGTATCCAGGCTCCTCTCCTGATGCAGTCCCTTCAACACTGCAGCCTGGGATTCTCTGACACGCATCGTGTTTCAGGCAGTGGGCCACAGTAGAAGCTTCCGTGCCAAAGGGCTGATAAATATTAATATAGAAGAAGAATAAAATATACCAAATTATATTAGAACGTAGAGTAAACGAGGAAACTGTTGTCTTTTGTAACAAAGTGATTTAGAAAATCTCACACTCTTCTATCCAAAAAAAAAAAAAAGTATATTTGCTTTAGGATGGTTTATTAACTTACATCAGCTTGCAAAATTTGAAATGGTCACAGGTGAGTGTTAAAATAAACAAACAAATTAGCCTGACTCTCCCTCACTTTTCTATCCCTTCTTCTTTACATGCACACACACACACACAGAGTAAACATAATAATGTAAAAATTAATATAATAAAAATAAGAAGAAAGAAGAAGAAAAGATTTGGCCCAGCTCTTCAAATATATCCCACTGACTGTTACAGAGTCTTTTATGAAAGTCAATCTGCCTGGACAGAACCAGTGACATCAGATAACCTCTCTTCTGCAAACACTATTGCAACATGGAAAAGATGATGAGATTCAGTTTTTACCTGTGGTCCCTAATTAACCTTAAGTTAGGCCTGTGTTATGGGATCTTGAGCAGCCTGCACCATTGATATCTACTTTCTGATAGTTTTTAGCTTTCCCTGTCAGGGAAAGATCTCTTACCACAGGAAAAAGTGTTTATATGAAACACATATGTTCATGTTCCAGTCTAAATTAGATAAAAAGGGTACAAATAAAACATCTGCACTTTTGAGTGCTTGCCCCTATCAAATGTTTTTGAAATAAAATCACTAGAACTACAGAAGGAAATATTCTCTTGTCTGCATAACTAAATAAAAAAGACTATTTGTTGATTTGAGCATGTGCTCCCTGAAAGAGCACTCAAGTTATTAATTATTTTTCATCATTGATTTGAAGCTTACCTTTGACTTGTTAACCTGATGACCTTAAAAAAGAATCAGCCTTGGCAACCATGCATCCAGGCCACATAATTTACTGCAAATTTCTCCTCCTCCACCGTGGGTTATCATCTCTATCATCACAGTTACAGACACCATGGCTATATCAGGCACACTCCAGACTTTATTACACGCTGGGTGGCAGTATGGAAGGCTTTTTGTTTAAAGTGCCCTTTATGTGAAATTGCAAGCTTAAAAATAAGAACATTTCCTTTGAATGTAACACGTTAGACCCTAATAGTAGAAAAATACTGACAATGGAGGTGGGCTCCCTGCTTTTTGTTAGAATGACACTTCTTGACAGAAGACCCTTTTTTAAGCAGATTATGACTTCAGTGCTGTCTGGTCTGAAATTCTTCATATTGGGCATCTGCCTCAGAAAGGATTTTTTTCTCTTTGTGGAAAGTTTAAATTAGCTATTTCTGAAAATGCAATAAGGACAAAAACAGCGCTCTACTATGTCATAAGATTTTGATGACTTCTTTGGAAATCTGTAGTATGCCCGTGTTTTGGGGCAGAAAATTTGACTGTGTCTGGGAGAATAAGAAAACAGAGACTTAGTTTTTTTTTCTTGGGGCTGGGGCGGGGGGGGGGGGGGGACAGGAAAAAGAA